GTTTTATTTTTTATATAGATAAATTTGTCCTTTTCAGATAAAATAGTGACATTATTGTAAAAAATGGTAGGCATGTGGCACGCTTGCAAAGAGTGCACATATTTTTGACATTTTTGTAATTGCCTCTATTTTTAATCTCATGTATAGAGTAGCTCTTTGATTATATTTATATCAAATCTCTAATAACACACTTTATTTTTTATATGGTGACTCAAGAAAGCTAAAGCTAGCGTTGCGAGTTCTATGGAGAACATATCCAGAGAAGAAGACGTGCGATAATAATCTGATGGAGGTTTGGTCCCAATCAAAGCAATGAAACATGAATGTCTCAGATTGGAAACCAAGATGTATCTCTTGGTGAATAGCACGTGAGTGGAAGGGGTTATAAGACTCTTTTTCGCGAATGTCGAAGCATCTCATTCACAGCATCTCAAAGATGAAGAATAACCAAAAACTGTTGCAGGTTTCTTGTTGGAACTGAAGAGTTGTTGCAGAGTTGTTGTTGTAGGTTTCTGCAGAGTTGTTGTTGCAGGTTTCTTGTTGGAACTGCAGAGTTGTTGCAGAGTTGTTGAAACAGTGACAGAGTTGGGTAACACAAGCAACTATAGAGATCGTTTTTGGTAAGATGTTATTTCTGCTTATTGGAAGATTCAGTTAGATCTTAGGTGGAGTAACAAAAGGTTCTTGAGATGCTTTGATGGTTAAAAACGTGTTTAGCTCATGGTTTTGGGTGTGTAACACAATGTGAAAGTGAGAAGTGAACAAGTTGTATCTTAAAGAGAGATTCTCGGCATAAGCTGGAATCAAGTGAAGTGATTTCAGGGATTTATGAAATCATCTTGTTTCAAAGATACAAGAAGATGCAACATTGTGAGAAGGATTTCAGATTACTCACAAGTTTAAATGTTGCAAGCATAAAAGTAACAAGGGTTCAGAGATCTCACAAGTTGATGTTGCAAGTACAAGAATGGATAAATCTAGAGTTGGAAGCAAGAACACTTGGTCATTGAAGTTGTTCTTGGTCTGCGTTTTATAAACCGATTGAGGATGATGTGAGGTGGAGATTTCCACTGGTTAAAGGTTTATTCAGATTCAGGAAATACATGAGTCAATATATGTTGGCTCAAGGTTATGAATCAGTATCTATGCGTTTATCCTCAAGACTCAAATCTCGAAGACAAGGTGTATTGTGATGCTCTGTATGATTGTTTCTGGTTTGGTCAAGATCTGCATATTCAAAGGAATTGAAAGCATGTTGCAGCACAAGGGTATAACCTGGTTTTGCAAGGGATTTGTGAAGATTCATTGCTGGGTTTTTTCAGGTTGTGTTTCCTGGTTGTATCAGTTTGCTAAAGTCTGATGCAGTTAGTGTTCTAATATTGATGTTATTATAGCCTCGGAAACACATAGAATTCTTGGGACTAGGGGACGCCTTAGAAGCTTGAATTTTATGTGTATTAGGCTGGCTGGTTATCAATATGGTTTTCTGGATTTATCTTGAAGGTGCAGAGGAGCATGAGACAAGATGAGGTTAATCTGTTTGAAGAAGACAGGTTAAGGACTTTGGGAATTCGAGGTGGTGGTTAAGGTTTGGAAGCAGACTCATCTCTGATTTAGTGTTCGATTTTTATAAATATGTTAAGCTCGGCAGTTGTGTCATAGAGCCTGTAGCAGCAAGGATGTTTCAGTGAAACAAGGCTGCTGGGTTTGTTGCAGTTTCTGTAGTACTGTGTACTAATACAGAAAATAGTACAGAAGGTGATTCAGACTGCTATTCTCAGCTTAGGTATCAGCGGGACAACGTTTGGGTTCTTATTCAAGAGTGTAAGCTTTTGACAGGGCAGAAGAAGCAAAGATTCAAGTCTGTGAAGATTTGTATTTGATTTAACACATAGTTATTCTGTTGGAATGAATCTTAAAGAACAAAGGAGTGTACAAGGTTTTCTGGTTCTGTAGTGGGTATCTTGGTTTGTCTCGATTATTTCTCAGTAAAAAGAAGTAGTTGTGGACAAGAGTGGTAAAGGAGGCTGCATAGTTTGTTTGGGAAGTTTTCTCAGTGTTACTTTGCAATGGCTTGTGCCATGATATTGTGTCGATAGTCTTCCTATCTAAGGGAGTTAGGCGGCATGTTCTGTTTGCTCAGAGTGTTTTCTGTTCAAGCAGCGGTGCACATATTGGTATATGTTTATTTTGCTAAGGGAGAGATCAAGGTCTTTGATTTCGAATATGAGGTGGAGATTGTTAAAGGTCAATCCAAGTTATTCTCAATCAAAATGTGTGGAAGTTTCCAAGTTAAATGAAGTCATGATTACTGAATCATAGTTCTTGGCGATTCTTCAGATACAAACGGATCAGTTGTAATGGCTGCAGAAAGAAGGAAGCTTGTGTCATAGGTTCTGACATATTGTCAAGCAAGAAGCCATGGTTAACCTTCTAATATAAAAGACGAAGAGAGTGTCAACATGTGTAAAGCTCATCCGGTGATACAATCTAATGCTTACAGATTTAGGTGGAGACTTGTTGTTGAGAAAACACTCAGATATAGTTGCATATTTTTCTGAAAATTCAGACAGTATGGCATGAGATGAA